CACACAACACACACACACACACACACATATATATATATATATATATATATATATATATATACAAATATATATATATATATAATATCCATCGGCGTTAAAGTGATGACACGTAAACTGTGCTCTTTGATGGGTTTGATAAAAAATGTATGGATTGGCAATTTACACACACACACACATACTTAGACACACACAAAGACATACACACACAAAAGACATACACACATTCATACATTCATACACATGTTCATATCACATCCCCTTCCAGTGGCACGGGTATCCCCCTCCCTTCGCCTACCCACATCTAGTGCTTATATCTCCCTCCGTTCGCCTACCCACATCTAGTGCTCATCTCATATCCCCTGTCATACCCTTTTTCCTCGATATCAGGCGTGTGTGACCTACCCATTGCCATTGGCTTTGGGGTGAGCACTCGTGAGCAGTTTCAGACCATGGCTGGGTTGGGTGATGGTGTGGTCATTGGTAGTGCCGTGTGTAAGGCCATAGTGGCGGACGAGAGCGTGGCGCCTGCTGAGGCTGCCGCAGCCTTCGTTGCCATGGTGACGGTAAGCACGTGCTTGAACGGGTGATATGTGGTAGGTGACGCGCGAGTGTTTGTTTGTTTGGTAGTACAGGGAAGGTGTAGGGGGTGAAGGGGTGGGGTTGAAGAGTTTTGTTAGTAGGTATGGTAGGTAAGTGTTGTGTTAGCAGGTATGGTAGGTAAGTGTTGTGTTAGTAGTTATAGTAGGTAAGTGTTGTGTTAGTAGGCATGGTAAATAAGTGTTGTGTTAGTAGTTATAGTAGGTAAGTGTTGTGTTAGTAGGCATGGTAAATAAGTGTTGTGTTAGTAGGTATGGTAGGTAAGTGTTGTGTTAGTAGGTATGGTAGGTAAGTGTAGAGCCAATGGCAGAGAGCGTGACCATCTTGGCCTCAGCTGTTTCGTTAGTCTAACGTCGCACCTGCCTTAGACTTTTGGACCGATACGGTGCACAAGGAGAGGGCACACACACACACCTAGCTCTCACCTGTTTCTGTTCCTGTTTTTGTTTCGGGCCCGATTTTCGGTCCGGTTCCCGTTTCTTTTCTGCACCACTATCCATAACTCACACAAACACCAAAACCAAAATCCAAAATAAATGAATATTAGGGGCGGAGTGCAGAGCAAGTCAGCCAAGCAGCATCACAAACTGCCGCAGGAAGCGATGACTCTTGGAAATTTAAAGCCAGCACTGAACTAGACACCGAGGCTAACGATGCCGAGTTCACCTTCGGCGATTTCGGTGGACGGTGGGTTGTTTGCGGTCACACACACACACACATACGCACACATGTATACACACGAACGCACACATGCACACGCATACACACGCACGCACACACACACCCACACACACCCACCCACACCCACACCCATATATATATATTAAGTACAATTTAATCGTCTGTAGATTTGGTTGTGTCTGGTTGTGTATGTGTATATGTTTCGTGGCCGGCCATACATTGTACAGATTTTGACCAAGGCGGTCTTCGGGGAATGGTGGGATTGTCTGTATAGGCGTACACCACCTCATGTATAGACACACGCACCATTTGCCACAGTTATGTACCAGAGACTCTAGTCGATGCCTTAGACGAGCTAGACAGAGTGTGGAAGGAACTGAAAGACGACCCTGCCTTCTGGGAAGAGTTCCGTTCTTACTACCAATACATTGGGCGCCCGGTAAGGATGTAGTATAACACTGATAATGGTGTATATATATATATATAATATAGATATATATATATACATAT